AGTTATCTATAACTTACTTTCACTTACACATCTCTCATATAACTCTTCCATTATTCCAGTTTAGTTTTGGCCTTGGTGAAACTACCAAATAACTTTTACTATACATCATCAGGAACCTCTCTGTGTCTGAGGTTTTAGTTTTTATCTTCCCTCATTTCCAAACAACATTTAATACAGTTGACCACTCTCTTTCTTGATACATTTTCTTCCTTTGCCCTTTGTGGCATCACACTTATGGTTTTCTTCTTATATCTCTGCTTACTTCTCAGTTTCCTTTGCACATACATTCTACTCTGCCTGGTGAGAGAATATGGTGCAAAAAGGCCTCAAATCAGGTCTCTAATTCCTACACAATTAATACTTGTATTTGCTGCTGGTCTATAAAATTTGAGTTAGTGGCCTCTAATTCCTATGCAATCACACATACACACACACACACACACACACACACACACACCCACCCCACTTACTTTGCCATTTGTATATCAGTGACTTAATTTGTATCTTTAGACTAGACTATTGGGCTAGTCTAGAGCTCTAGGCACATAGGTCCAATGGCCTGTGTAACCCAGACATTTGGATGCTTCCAGCTCACAGTGTCCAAAAATCAAACTCATGATTTTTATGCAATTATATTCATCATTCATGTTTCATATATCAGTTAATCTCACCACCAGTTATTCTGATGTGCAAACCTCAAACCTAGGAGTGAATCTTGGCCTTTTCTTTTTCTTCTCTAAACCTTCATATTTAATTCCAAATAAAGTTACATAATTTCTACTGCTTTTATAACTTTGATCCCATATTTTTCTTTATTTGTACCACTACTTCCCTAGTTCAAGCCACAATAAATTCATCTGGACTATTTCGATAACCTTGTAAGTGGTAAATTTGCATGCATTATAGCTGTAATTCAATCTATTCTCTGCAACACAGTGTAAAACCATCTTTCCAAAGGCAAATGTGCTCATGTCAAAACCACTCTTTCCTCTGTCTAAAATACTGTTAATATTTCCCATCTTTTTGGCTGAACCCATTTCTATTTTTAGTCTTCTCTTCAACCACAGGCTCCTTGCTTATTGACTTCTAGTCCCACTGTCTTTTATTTCATTCCTTGATTTCACCATACTACCTCCTTCTACAAGCTCTTTGGAGACATGGTTTTTTATGCCTAATACTCCTTCTCCTAAACATTCTTTCCCAGTTATTATTATTATTTTTTAACATTCGGACCTCCCCTTAATTACTGTTTCTTGAGAAAAATCATTCCTTACACCTTAGGGCAGGTCAGATACCGTTATTGTATACGTTTATAGAACCATCTATTCTTTTTCGTTTGTTTGTTTGTTTGAGATGGAGTCTTGTTCTGTCGCCCAATCTGGAGTGCAATGGTGTGATCTCGGCTCACTGTAACCTCCGCCTCCTGGATTCAAGCAATTCTCCTGCCTCAGGCTCCCCAGTAGCTGGGATTACAGGCGCCCACCACCACGCCCAGCTAATTTTTACTATTTTTAGTAGAGACAGGGTTTCCCCATGTTTGCCAGGCTAGTCTTGAACTCCTGACCTCACATGATCCATCTGCCTTGGTTTCCCAAAGTGCTGGGATTACAGGTGTGAGCCACCACGTCAGGCCAGAACCATCTATTCTTAATTCACTTATTTAGTCATTTTCATAGGCAGAATTCTAAAATGGCGCTACAGAAATATCCTGCTCTGGTTTCCAGAACCTTTGAATATTATGAGATGTCACTCCTGGGATTGTGTTATATGCTGTATTGCACAGATGGATCTTTATATAGGGATATTATAGCCCAGTGGGCCTGGTCTAATCACGTGAGACCTTAATAACAAGACATTTCTCTAGCTGGTGACAGAAGAAGTCAGAGATATTCAAAGCATGGCAAGGATGTGATGTACTGTTGCTGGCTTGATGATGGAAGAGCACGTGAGAAGGAATGTGGGCAGCCTAGGGAGCTGAGGGACGCCAACGGAGAGCAATGGAAAAGTGATCCCAGTGGCACGGCTTCAAGGAACTAGATTCTGTTAATAACCAAAATGAAGGTGGAAGCAGTTTCTTCCCCAAGGCTCCCAAATTAGAACCCAGTTTGCTGAAACTTTTATTTTAGCCTTATGAGAACCCAGCCATACTTCTCATAAGGCTAAGAAGCTCACCCATACTTCTGACCTTCCGAATATGAACTAATAAATGGGTATTGTTTTAAGCTGCTTCTTTTTTTTTTCTCTGCAGCAATAGGAAACTAATGCAGTCACCAAATACCTTCTTAGTGCTATTAAAATAAGTGTGAACCCAGCACTCAGAATGCAATGGAGAACAAAGGTGGTTTAAACACTTCTCTCATGGAGTGTACAGTGCCCTGGGGGAAGAGAAGCCTAAATGGATAGTGCTTAATGCTATTGCAAATTTATATTTCTTTGTAAACATTTACTCAATGTGTATTCCTTCCACAAGGATCAAGTCTGGTTTTGGTAGCATTGTGTTCCTGTCCATCATGTAACAGAGTGTCTGGCTCACAGGAGTCACTCAATAAAAAATAAAAGAACTATTTGTTAATGCATGAAGAATAAAATGCTCCAAGTCAGATTGCTGATATGAATGAGACAGTTGTGACAGAGTTTGAGTAAGTTTTGGTTTCCTGACTCTTAAGCTTGTGTTCTTAAACACTGTAACATAAAATCCTACTTACCCAATGCAGACACTACATACTGAGATCTTGTGAAATCGACCTCACACATAGTGTTGTGGGACAATCAGAGATAGGAGAGACCAAACAGAGTGAGTTCAGGAAAGGTATTTATTAAAAGGTGATCACCTGGCTCAGTAGGACTAGTGTCCAGGAAAGTCTGAGCCCTGGACAAAGAAAGCAGCCAACTTCTAAGCAGTCAGTGGCCAGGAGCTACGTGATGCAGGAAGCATACTTACAGAAGCGAGAACAAAGCCATTTGATCAGTTTTTTACATTTGTCTATAGTACATGTTCTACATCCTTGGGAAACCATGTTTCTGTATCAACCTTGTAACTTTGCAACTGCGCTGAGAAGGTGAAGGAGGAACTCGCTGAGCCTCAAGGAAAGTGAAACTGGTGAGTACAGATAAGGCTCGCTGAGCACAGAAGGAAAAACAGGAAGTTAGTATTCTTCTCTAACTTAGACTACGGGGGGGCTACACTGCACTTAGCTTTTGAAGGAAAACGTAAAAATTTCTTGGCTGTCTTTGTACTTATAAAATTCATGAATTCCTTCTTCAGCAGTGGGAGGGGTAGTGGCATAGGTGAAGAGAAAGACACACATGTCCTTACAACTTCACCTTGTAAGAAGGTGCATTCCAGCAGACACACATAAACAAATCTTAGTATTGTATCCTCTAAAGCCCTTTTTCATTTCGTTTTTTCAACAAGAACCCTTTATGGAGTCAAAGTACTTATGTCACTGAGGTGTGAAGGTCATCACTTCCAGCAAAAAGGCCCAGGAGACCCCCTAGGGTGAGAAATTAGGGAACTTTTCTTTACTAAGAGAGAATACTTAATTTAGCCAGTCAGTAGTATTGCATCTCTCATACCTTCAGTTCATCTACCCAGCATAGCTGAAAACCTTCTCACAATGTTTACAGTTACTTTTATGTATTCTTTTCTCTGAAGGATCAAAAGCTCCCTAGAGGAAGACATCTCCAAATTACATCTTAAATTAAACAACTCATTGCTTCATCTCCTGTTCAAAATAATTTATCATTAAATCTTCAAGATAATTATTCAAAATAATTATTGAGCATCTGCTGTTCCACCAACAGCACTAGGCACTGAGTATATGTTGGCCCCCTTGGGGCTTACCATCTAGTTGAATGACAGACTATTGTATACATGCAGGAAGCAAACACAGTACCTTGAATAATCTGGAAAGGAGAATTAATAAGACAGGATTTTCTGAGAAATTAGGTTTATACTTTATTTGAAATGAGACACAGGCATGGGGGAAATGAGAATGTTCCAGGCAGCATAAAAGGTATCTGGGAAATCTCTGAGGTCAGATAAGAGGTTAAACTGATGAGTCTTCTGGCTCCAGTTCTGTTCATATGTCCAATGCACTTCTAATCTGCAATTTATACTACTAACTTATAGTAAAAAAATAATGATTTTTAGGTACTAGATACAAACCAAACAACTTAGCATAATATGCACAGTCCTATATAATTTGGTCACCTACTTCTTCATCCCCTACCACTCCCTTTTCTTACCCTGTGCCACAGCCATGTCTATAAAGACTTAAGCGGTAGAGACATAAAGAAGTACAGGAATGCAAACCTTTTCACAAACACTCTTCTTTGTTCAAAACATGGAGTCCTTTTCATGTTGCTCTTTTTTTTCTAGATTTTTCTCTTCCTTATTTAATTCCTACTTTGCATAGAAAAATTCTGAATTTTTCAAGGTGAGATAAAAATTACTATCTTCTTTGTGGAAGCTTGCCACACCTTCCCAGGCATGTCCTGTCAATGACCAATTTGTAATCTCTAGTAATGTTTTGAAAGGAACTTTATTATGGCACTTATTGGTTTATACTCTGGTTGTGTCTTTACTTGCCTTTTTCCTGGCACAAGGCTGTGAGCTTTCGGAGACAAGGGAACACGTTTCATTTATTTATCAGTCTTTCATCCTCATCACTACTTTCTTACAGAGTAAATGCTGAACACAAATTTGTAACATAAACAAACCTTATGGATTTCCCACAGTCTCAGCACAGATTAGGGATTTTCAGTGCTTGCTGGGTCTAACAGGTTTCTGTAAGGCTATAGCAGTCTCTTTAATGTTATCCAGGCCCTATAATATTTTGTAATTTCATCAACCTTGGCTTCTCCCCCTCAGCATCCTGAGCATGGCCTCCCTGATGGGCTTGGGCTTCATACTGTAAATGATGGGATTGAGCAACCTAGATACACATAGGCAACAAGAGCATGTACAATGTGGGGCAGGTGCCTCCCAAAATGGTGGATCATGGACATGGTGATACCTGGAGGAAGAAGACAAAGACAGCCAGAATGTGGGAAACACAGGTGCTGAGGGCCCTGATGCACTCCCTGGGAGCGGCCAGACCCATGACTGTGTGCAGGATGAAGGTATAGGACAGGATGATGAGCAGGGAGTCTATGCCCCCTATAGATACAACCACATAGAGCTCATAGCATATATTGATCCTGATGTCAGCACAGGCCCACCTCATTACATCAGGGTAGAAACAGAACGAGTGGGATAGGATGTTACCACCAGGGCAGAAATTTAGACGCTTAACCAGAAATGGCACAGGGAAGAGGCACAAGCTAGCTCGAGCCACAATGGCCAGCCAAATCCTGATGAGGACATTGTTTGTGAGGACAGCTGCATAGCGCAGGGGGGTGGAGATGGCCACAAAGCAGTCAAAGGACATGGGCGGGAGCACTGAGGACTCCACCACAGAGACGGAGCGCAGGAAGAACATCTGGACCAGGCAGGCATTGAAACCAATGAGCCAATAGTCAAACAAGAGCACAGCCAAGGTGGTAAGCATTGTGGACAAGGTGTGGCCACATCGGTGAGCACCAGCATGGACAGGAAGTAGTACATGGGCTGATGCAGGCTGGGGGTCCTCTTCACAGCCAGGAGAATCAGGCAGTTCCCAGGGGGGCCACAGTGTACATGGAGGAGAAGGGGATGGTGAGCCAGCCATGAATGGCCTCCAGCCCTGGGATGCCAATCATGAGAAAAGCAGGTGGTTGGAAGAAGGGGATGTTGACTGGGAAGGGAGCATCCTAGGGAGGCAGACAAGGGCTCTGGAGAGATGTGAGATCTTCAATTTGGGTAGAAAATAAGGAGAAAATACAAAATTATTGGAAGAATACCACCTCTGATACCAGGTGCCATTGGTTCATGCACACTAGCAAATATGACAGATGTGAATCATATTTTAAAATGTACTTCCATCTAAATGAAAAGGGAGAATAACTGTAAATTAAGCTTATTGATGACAAAAGTTCTAGTTGATAGCATGTAACACTGGTTTCTTTTTATATTTAACAAAGTGATACTTTCTTTTAATATACATAGAGTGATCCTGACGAACTTAGTACAAAATGCTGTATTTTAAAGAGGAAACAGTGATCCCGTAGAAATAAATTGCAGATCTACCGTAGAAACCTGAGGGGTAGTAGGCATGGGCTTGTTTTTCTTCTTTTCTGGGATTCAGCTTCTACATTCCCAAACAAACAAGCAAATAAGAAAACAAAGGACAACAGTTTAAAGGTAGATCAAGAAAAGAGATGAAAAGCAGCCATCCAAATATCTTTAGCAGAGATTTAAAAACCCACCCAAAACAGGTCTGTGAGCTAAAGCAAATTTCATGATGATAGCTGGGTCTCCAGTTGTATCTAGTCAATGTAATCAGCTCACACTGAAGGTGAAAAATGACCAGGAACTGGAGGGTAGGGGAGTTAAGAAGTATTGTGTCTACTGGCCAGAAGATTGTGTATATTTTGTGAAATATTTTAAAAGAATACATAGAAAATTAAAGTTGCTGTTGTTGTCAGTTGAGTTATTATCTATTCTTTCTCTGTTATGCATTACTTTTTGAGTGAATATCAAGCCCTGATGGAACTGACTCCATTTAAAGATAAGTAAAAAACAGAGTAGTTCCCACATAGAATTTATGCAGACATATTTTATAAAAATTAAAAGGGATAAACTAAGTTAAACATATAGTAAATACTCTTTGAAATAAAGAGTTACTAGAGGAAAGAGAAAAATGTTTTATATAAATTTTTTAAAATACTTAAAAAAGTTAAAGAAAACATGAACAAAATGAAATGTTGTAATACTAGAGTGTGAAAATGAGTTGATAATAGAGAAAATAAAAATCATAGACCAAAGAAAATAACCTGGGGCAAAAAATAGAAGCTACTCTAAAATTGAAAATATTCTTATTAGAAAAAGGTATACTGCTTAGAAACTTACCAATATGAAAAACAGAATTGAGAATAATAAAACAAAATGAAATTAAAACAATGATAAAAGTCATTAGAGAAAATGTAATTGATATGCTGAATAAAACAGTGTAATCTCAAACACAATAGGTATTCCTGAAGAGGAGTAAAATAAGAATAAAAAAAGAAAAATATTCAAATATATAATAAAATATTTCTAAAAATTATAAAAAATCCAAGTCTTTGTATCAACATGCTTATCTACCAGAAAATAAACACTAATGACTAGACAAATATAGATATATTTAGGTATAATTATTACGTTGCAAGGATAAAAATCCTATAAGTACCCCGCTGTAGGCAACAAATCTTAAAATGAAAAAGTATCAGATGCAACCCAGAAATCTCTTAAGACCAATAGATCACAAAAAAGGGATTAGTGTGTACAGAAAAAAATGGATATGTAAAAAACATCCATTTTTTACATCCAAATGTGTAAAGAAATGGATGGAATATAAACATTCTTTTTTTTTTTGAGACAGAGTTTTGCTCTTGCTGCCCAGGCTGGAGTGCAATGGCGCGATCTCGGCTCACAGCAACCTCTGCCTCCTGGATTCAAGCGATTCTCCTGCCTTAGCCTCCCGCGTAGCTGGGATTACAGGCATGCACCATCACACCTGGCTAATTTTGTTTTTAGTAGAGACTTGGTTTCACCATGTTGGTCAGGCTGGTCGTGAACTCGCGACCTCAAGTGATCTGTCTGCTTTGGCCTCCCGAAGTGTTGGGATTACAGGCGTGAGCCACCATGCCCGGCTGGAATATAAACATTCTGAATGCATCTAGAATGTTGTCTAGGTGGAAAAGAAAAATAACATACATTAAAGTCAATATTTTTATTATTATTTATAACGTGGACTAATATTGTAGGATACATTTTTTGAGTGATTATATTAATGCCTTTGAGAGCCAAGACTTTCAGGGTAAGAGAAAAAGAATACATATTTAAAATCAACCAAGTTAATTAAAATGTTGTAATTATAGAGTTAAGTTTGAAATATCAGAATAAGCTCAAGAAATATTTATCTTTTAAGTAATATATATTTTTCAGCTTTATCCTCAGAAAATGACTCAGTAACAAGAACATCTCAGTAGCAAGGAGTACCTCCAATACTTAGCTGTGGCTTTTAGATAACATTTTCCCCTAAAAGGAGTCACATATCTTTTGATAAATAGCTGATTTCAAATCTTGTGCTGGAAATATGCCTAATGATATTGGACATCTTTTAGTACTAGAAGATAAGGAATCATTCAAAGCCAACAGGAATCACTTAAAAAAGACAAAGTAGTCAACTTGAAGAGGCTCCCACTTTCCAAATAAGGCCAATTCAACATCAGTAAGAATGGTAGATGAAAAAGATGGAAACACATTGTGTGTGTGTGTGTGTGTGTGTGAGAGAAAGAGATGTACATATACATACACACAAACTCACAACTCATTGGTTAGTGATGCTATTAATTGGAACTCAGTATTCTGAAAACTTGCACATAATCTGCTTTGCTTCTACAAATTGTTGGATGGTTAAAACAAAAAAAAATGCAAAAGGTATCACAGCTAACAGGAAATAATAGAATTAGAGTAACTTTTCTTTACCTAGTGAAATAATGGAAAAAATCATCAAGGGCTGAAAGTATCACAAAATACCAGAGGAAGCAGAGTTAGATGACCAAATATAAGGCTTCTGTAGTCATCCTGCATGCAGGAACACCAAATCTGACAACTATTTACACAAAAAAGCACCTTCATATGAACCAAAATTCAGGTGAGCAATCACAGTACCTGGTTTTAATGTCATATTGCTAAAAGGGGTATTGACCAGGGTAGAAAGACAGTCTTGAATTGCTGTCGCCACCCATATCCCATCCCCTGGCAGTGGATACATTGTGTGGAGAGAGAATCTGAGCATTTAGGGGATGTAGAACACGGTGGCTGTTTGAATTCAGAGCTGCCCTGTCATAGTAGAAATCAACACCAGGCAGAACTCAGCCACTGCCCATCCATAGAGGGAGGATTTAGATCAGCCCTAGTCAGAGAGGAATCACACATTCCAGCGGTCAGAACTTGAGTTTTGGCAAGCCTCACTACCCTGAGCCAAAGTGCTCTGGGGTCCTCATAAACTTGAAAGAAAGTCTAGGACACAAGGACGGCAGCTTCTAGGCAAGTTCTAGTGTTGTACTGGGTTCAGAGCCAGTGGAAGCGGGTGGGAACATGACCTAGTGAAACACCAGCTGGGGCAGCTAAGGGATGCTTGTGCTACCACCCCTCCCCCAATCCCAGTCAGGGCAGCTCACAGCAACAAAAGTGACTCCTTCCTTCTGCTTGAGAAGAGGATAAGGGAGAGTAAGAGGACTTTGTCTTTCATCTTGGATGCCAGCTCAGCCACAGTAGGATAGGGTACCAGAAGGAGTTGTGAGGCCCCCAGTCCAGGCCCTAGCTCCTTGACAACATTTCTAGACACACTCTGGGACAGAAGGGAACCTACTGCCCTGCAGGGAATGGCCCAATCCTGGCAGGATTTATCATCTGATGACTAAGGAGCCCTTGGGCCCTGAAGAACCAGCAGCAATACCTAGGTAGTATGTCATGGGCCTTGGGTGAGACTCTGAGATATGCTGGCTTTAGGTGAGACAAAGAACATTCCCAGCTCAACACCATTAAAAAGTGGACAAAGGACATGAACACTTTTCAAAATAAGACATACATGTGACCAACAGGCGTATGAAGTAAAGTGCAATATCACTAATAATTGGAGTAATGCAAATCAAAACCATGATGAGATACCATCTCATACCAGTCAGAATGACTATTAATAAAAAGTCAAAATATAAAAGATGCTGATGAGGATGCAGAGAAAAGGGAATACTTATACACTGTTGGTGGAAGGGTAAATTAGTTAAACCATTGTAGAAAGCAGTGTGGCAAATCTTCAAAAGAACTAAAAAAAAACACTACAATTTGACCCAGCAATCCCACTACTGGGTATATGCCCAAAGGAATATAAATCATTCTCCCATAAAGACGCATGTATGCATATGTTCATTGCAGCACTAATCACAATAGTAAATACATGGAATCAACCTAAATGTCCATCAACAGTAGAGTGGATAAAGAAAATGTGGTACATATATAGCATGAAATACTACGCAGCCATAAAAATGAATGAAATAATATACTTTGCGGGAACATGGATGGACCTGGAGGCCATTATTCTTAGCAAACCATTGCAAGAACAGAAAACCAGATACTGCATTTTCTCATTTACAAGTGGGAGCTAAGCAATGAGGACACATGGACTGGAAGAGGGGAAATACAGACTCTGGGCCCTACTTGAGAGTAGAGGGTGGGAGGAGAGAGAGGTTCAGAACAATTAAACAACAACAACAACAACAACAACAATTATTGGGTACTATGTTTAGTACCTGGAAGAGGAAACAATCTGTACACTAAACCCCCCAATCATGAGTTTACCTATATAACGAACCTTACCTATATAACAAACATGTATCCCTGAACCTAAAAGTTAAAATATTTAAAAAATCTCATGTACCCCATAAATATATCACCTACAATGTACCCACAAAACTTAACAACTGAAGAAAAAAAAAACGAAATTAGAGAACACTGTATGTTTTACCAAAATTACAAATTTGGGTCATATCCCACCTTGAGTTTACAGAAAATAGTCAAGACAGCAGTCAAGCAGGCATGTTAAGATACCAAGAAAGGAAGTCAGAAATATTCATATTAAAATAAACAAACTTGACAAAACATTCTAGCTTATTCCATAAATAAATTCCAAGAAAACAAAAAGGAAGAGAAAAATGTAAGAACTGATAAATGAATTCAATAAAGTTGCAGGACTTAAAATCAACATACAAATATCAATAGCATTTCTATATGCTATCAGCAATTAATCTAAAAAAGAAATCAAGAAAGCAATTCCACTTATAATAGCTACAAAAAATAAAATACCTTAGGATAAATTTGTCAAGTGAAAGATCTCTATATGGAAAACCATAACACACCCATGAAAGAAATCAAAGAACACACACACACAAATGGAAAGATATCCTATGCTTGTGTACTGGAATAATTAATATTGTTAAAATGTCTTACTACCCAAAACAATCTACAAGCAATGCAACCCTTATCAAAATATCAATGACATTCTTCACAAAAATAGTAAAACACAATTCTAAAATTTGTATCGACCCACAATAAATCCTGAATAGCTAAAGCAATCCTGAGCAAAACAAAAAACAAAACCAAAACTGGAGGCATGACACTACCTAACTTCAAATTATATCTCAAAGCTATAGTAGCTAAAACAACATGGTACTATCATAAAAACAGACACATAGACCAATAGAACAGAATAGAGAACTCAGAAATAAATCCACACGTTTACAACCAACTTATTTTTCACAAAGATGCCAGTAACATACATTGTGAAAGGGACAATCTCTTTAATAAATGGTGCTGAAAAAACTGGATATCCATATGCAGAAAAATGGAACTAGATCCCTATTTTTTACCATATACAAAAATCATTTCAAGATAGATTAAAAGCATAAACATAAGACCTGAAACTATGAAACGACTAGGAGAAAACATTGGGGAAATGCTACAGAACACTGGCCTGAGCAAAGGTTTTTTTGGGTAAGACATCAAAAGTACAACAAAGGCAGAAATAAGACAAATGGGATTACATAAAGCTAAGAAGCTTTTATACAGTAAAGGAAACAATTGACAAATTGAAGAGGCAACCTACATAATAGGAGAAGATTTTTGGAAACTATCCCACAAGGTATTAATAACCAGAATATAAAAGGAACTCAAACAATTCAATAGCGAAAAAAAAAATCTGATTAAAAAGTGGGCAAAAGACCTGAATAGGCATTTAACAAAAGACGATATACAAATTGCCCGAAGATGTATGAAAAAAGGTTCAACATCACTAATCATTAGGGGAATGAAACTCAACTGACAATGAGATGCCACCTCACCCCAGTTAAAATGGCTTTTATTAAAAAACAAAAAACAAAGTAACAGATGCTGGAGAAGATGAGGAGAATGGGGAATGCACTTACATTGTTGGTGAGAACATAAATTAGTACAGCCACTATGGAAAACAGTATGGAAGTTCCTCAAAAAATTAAAAATAGAACTACTTTATGATCCAGCAGTCTGATTGCTGGATACATACCCAGAAGAAAGAACATTATTAGTATGTCAAACAGATATCTGCACTCCCATGTTTGTTGCAGCCTTATTCACAATAGCCAAGATATAGAGTCAGCATAAGTGTCCATCAGTGGATGAATGGATAAAGAAAATGTGGAACATATACACAATGCGGTATTATTCAGTCATTAAAAAGAATGAAATCCTGTCATTTGCAACACCATGGATGGAAATGGAGGCCATTACATTAAGTGTGATAAGCCAGGCACAGAATGGAAAATATCACATATTCTCACTCCTATGTGAGAACAAAAAAATTGGATCTCATGAAGGCAGAGGGTTAGAATGGTGGTTACTAAAGGCTGGAAAGTACAAAGGGGAAGGGGGACATGAGAGATTGGTTAGTGGGTACAAATATACAGTTAGGTAGATTGAATAAGTTCTGCTATAATATTTGATAGTACAATAGGGAGACTATTAATACTATTAAATTACTATTAACAATAATTTATTGTGTATTTCGCAGTTACTAGAGGAAAATAATTGAAATGTTCCCAATAGAAAGAAAAGATAAATGTTTAAGATGCATAACACAATTACACTGATTTGATCATTATACATTGCGTACATGTATGAAAATATCACTTGTACTCCTAAAATATGTACTGTTATTTTATACACATACACACACACGACTTGACTCTTATCAACCAAAAGAAATGCGTGGACCTTGTTAGTATCTTGTTTTGAGCAAATCAAATGTAAAACACGAGCAAACTAACAAAAAGAAACATTTTTACAGGGTAATCCTGAATTGCAATAAATGTGGATGTGAGCTGATGATTGTTGTAGCTGCATATGAGTATATAGAGATCCACTTATTCTCTCTTTAATTTTGAGTATTTTTGATTTTTTATAATAAAATATTAAGAAAATAGTTTTCTTTTATAACAAGTGACAACATTAATGAAAATAGCTTTCTGGTTAAACTTGGTAAATCATACAAAACCTTTCTCTCTCTACTCTCTCCAAATTCCCATTTAAGTGACAGTAAAAATAACAAGTTATTAACTCACGATGACAAAAGCACAGGATAGGATATAAGAGATGCAAATATTATAGTCTATGGGTAAATCAGAAAGAGTGGTGGGAAACTGATAGAAATAAAAGATTAAGTTCTTATAGAAAGGTTGCATCACAGATCCACTGCAAAATGACTAGGGAGTTACAGCTGATAAAAGCAAGAGTGAGGAGAGAAATTGAGAACAGGATGAGTTTATGAGGAGCAGCTGTAAGATCCCCTCTCCTGGATATACCTTCTACCCTGGTAGAAGTCAGATTACTTTCCGAAAACATTCTACCAACAAGGCTCTGGATCCAGAAATGCTTGAAAGAAATGAAAACTGGACAGTATTTAAAACAAGTGATATGAGGAATGGCAAGACTGCCCAGCTCTCCTTTTCTCGCTTGATTCACTGAGTTCTGGTAATCAGGCTTATTCTGCATCACCTGATGGTCACCTTGGGTGCCCACCCAGCAGGAAAAGCCTGTGGAGAAATGCCAGTCCAGATAAGGACAGCTGAGATACTGAGACAGTGCTCAGATGACCTCAGGATGCCAAACAGGAAAAGAACTGGATACATTGTCACATCTGCTCCCTTTTTAAAGAAATTATAAGGAGCATAGTCTTGGAAATATGGTCTTGGATTCCAGTTCATCTCAGAGATATAAACTTCAGGACCTTAGGAAACCAGCCTCTTCCAGCCCATGTTCTTCAAGTGGGGATAGGACTACAGTCTCTCATTGTCCCAGACTATTTCTCCTTTTTATGCTTTATGTCCAACTCCATCCCACCGATGTATCTCCATCTGAGGCTGAGGTGCTGGAAGCCACTCGTCTGAGAATTAGAGAAGGGGATGTGTTGGGGCCCAGATTACTCACCCTAGCTGTGTTCCACGCTGTCCTCCCACTCATATCCTGCAGGAGCCCAGAATGCCTGTGGCAGAGCAACTAAGTTTTATCTCCTTACACAGAGACACTTTGGCAGAAGTGCCTATCTCCAGGGAAGGCCAGGCTTGGGTCACAGAGGAATCAGTCACTCCACTCAGGTCCCTGGAGAATGGGAAAGTTGGGGCTGGCTTTGGAACCAGGAACAGACAGGTGCTTGGAGAAACTAAACCATAAGAAGGAAAGAGAGACCAGAATCATAGATTCTACAATGTCCCACCAAGTTTAAATTATCCTCAGAAACTATCAACTTCCACAGCTCATCTGAATTTGAAATCTTTCCAGGATGGATGATACTGCTGAAGCCTCCTCTGGGCCAGGCCACAGGATGCATCCTACAGGAGCTCGTAGTCTTTGTAGAGGGGCGGGATATGGAGTGATGTGGTTGAGAGCCCAGCAGTGGCCCACCCCAGCCTGAGGGAGTCAGGGAAGGCTTCCTGGAGGAGATAGAGAGAAAATAGACTTCTGACAGGCCCCCAAACCCTGTCCGAAGCCCTCAGCTCTCATTCTTGGAAGGGTACCAGGACTATGGGCTTGAAGCTCCAGGCTAGGAGTGTGGTTCAGATTCTACCCATATTCCTAGCCTGGGACTGACCTGCTGAATCAGCAGACTCAAAAGGAGAGAACTTGGACAGAGGCAAGAACATGAACTTCAGAGGCATCAGATCTGAGTTTGAGGCTCCCTCTTGAACTTTTCTTACTTCTGAGAGAGTTTCCATAGTAGCTCTGGCCTCAGCTCTTTCCTAAATCAATTTGGACTATGGTCATTCACCTGCAACTTCTTTCTATGGACACATTTGACTCTTTCTTGTTTTTGATTTTGCCTGCACCCTCTGAATTGGGTGAATGCTGAATTGGGCTCAGCCTGTCTCTACCTTTCTCCTCCTGCGGTGATAAGTAAACTTAGGAAAAAAATCACACACTCTTGAAAATTTATATCTAAACAAATTTGTGGCCTTTAACCCGAGCTGAGACCTTAGCACTGCTTCACAATTATTTTCTTTCTGTTTTTAAATTGTCACAATTTTTCTCAAGCTCTTTACCCAACCTGCCACCACTCCTCTCATTAGTTAATTTGGTATTGCTCCTAACTTCACACAGAAAATGGAAGCCATCAAGTGGGCCTTCCCTTAGCTTCCTGCCCAATGCATCAGCTATCTGAACTGTTTCCATTTTATATACATACTCTGCCAGAGAGACAATTCTTTTTTTTTGAGACAGAGTCTCATCCTGTTGCCTAGGCTGGAGTGCATGGCGTGATCTCGGCTCACTGCAATGTCTGCTTCCTGGGTTCAAGAGATTCTCGTGCCTCAGCCTCCCAAGTAGCTGAGATTACAGGTGTGTGCCACCATGCCAGGCTAATTTTTGTGTTTTTAGTAGAGACAGGGTTTTACCACATTGGTCAGGCTGGTCTTGAACTCCTGACCTCAAATTATTCACCTGCCTCAGCCTTCCAAAGTGCTGAGATTACAGGTATGCAGAGAGACCATTCTAAGGAACATGCTGCTTCACGTTAACTCCCTCTCCACACTTTTAACTACTTCTTTGCTGGCTGCCCATAACTTACAGCAAAAACAATTCTGAATGCCATTTCATGGATGACACCTAAGACTCTTTAACGTTTTTTATTTTATTTTATTTTTATATAAAGCTTTTAAAGATGGTTGTGGATTCTCATGCAATTTTAAGAGATAATTCAGAGAAATTTTGTGTATATTTTACCCAGGTCCCCCAGTGGGGTGACAGCTTACAAAACAGTGCAATATCAAAATAAGGATTTTGAAGGTACAGAAGGAACATAAAACAATATTATAAGGACCATACATGGAAAGCCCATGGCTAATATACTCGATGACAATAAATTAAAAGATTTTCCCCTAAGATTAGGAATAAGACAAGAACTCTCACCACATTTATTCAATATATGCTATTCAGAATATATACTGGAAGTCTTAGAGCAATTAGGTAAGAAAAAGAAAAGACATCCAAATCCAAAAGAAAGAAGTAAAATTATATCTGTTTGCAGATGACATGACTTAATATATAGAAAACCATAAAGATCCCAACTAAAAAACTGTTAGAACTAATAAACAAAATCAGTAAAGTTGTGAGACACCAAATCAACATAAAAATTGGTTGCATCTCTATGCATTATGAATGAACTACCCCCAAAAAGAAAACAATTGCACTTACAATAACATCAACAAAAAATAAAATACTTAGAAATAAATTTAACCATGGAAGTGAAATACCTGTTACTCAAAAAAAAACAAAAAACAAAAAAACTCAAAAAAATTGATCAAATAAATTGAAGATGGCACAAATACATGGAAAAATATCCAGTTTCAAAGAAGAGTTAATGAATTGGTATTGTTAAAGTTTCCGTACTATACAAAGTGATCTATAGTCTCAGTGAAATTTCTATCAAAATTTCAATGATATTCTTCACAGAAATAGAACAATCCTGAAATTCCTATGGCATTAAAAACAAAAACAAACAATCAAACAGAAACAGCAAAAATCCTACTAGCCAAAGCAATCTTGAGCAAAAAGAATAAGGTGGGAAGCGTGACACAACACTATGGTAATTAAAACAGCATAGTTCTTGCATAAAAACTGATATATAAACTGATATATAAACCAATGGAACAGAGTAGAAAGCCCAGAAATAAATCCACACGTTTATGGCCAATTGACACTCAGCAAAGGTACAAGAACACACAGTGGAGCAGGGAGAGTCTCTTCAACAAACGGTTTTGGGAAAACTGGCTATCCATATGCAAAAGATGAAACTGGACCCTTATTTTACTCCATATACCAAAACCAACTCAAAATAGATTAAAGACTTAAATTTGAGATCTGAAACTAAACTACCAAAAGAAAATATGATGAAAAAATTTCTAGATGTTGATCTGCATAACAAATTTTTGGATATGAACCCAGAACGTAGACAACAAAAGTAAAAAATAGACAAATGGGATTACATAAAATTAAAAAGCTTATGCACAGAAACAATCAATTGAGTGAAGAGACAACCCATGTGATAGGAGAAAATGCAAAGCATACATCAGGTGAGGGGCTACTCTCCAAAACATATAGAAAATACAATTTAGTGTCAAAAACCAAATAATCTAATTAAAAAGTAAGCAAAGAACCTGTATAGTTTCTTCTCAAAAGAAGATACACAAATGGCTAAAAGGTATTTGAAAAGATGTTTATCATCAATAATCATTAATGAAATGCAAATAAAAACCACATTATCAGCTCGTACTTGTTAGAATGGTTATTATCAAAAATGAAAAAAATGGTAAGTGTTGGTAAGGAAAGGGGGACCCTTGTATACTATTGGTCAAAATGTAAATCAATATGCTCATTATGGAAAATAATATGGAGGTTCCCCAAAAACTAAAACTAGAACTATCATATGATCCAGCAATCCCTTTTCTGGATACATATCCCAAAAAATGAAATTAGTATCTCAAAGAGATATCTGTATGCCCCTGTTCTTTGCAATATTATTCACAAGAGCCAAGATATGGAATTAACCCAAATCCCCATCAACAGATAAAGGGAAAATGAAAAGGTGATACGCACACATGTACACACACACACACATGCACACACACTATTCAGCCTTAATAAAGAAGGAAACTCTGTCATTTGCAACAACGTGGATGAACCTAGAGGACATTATGTTAAGTAAAATAAGTCAGGTACAGAAAGACAAATACTACATGACCTCACTTACAAGTGGAATCTTAAAAAGTCAAACTCATGGAAGCAGAGAGTAGAACGATGGTTTCCAATCGCTGGGGCTCCTGGGTGGAAAAAACAGGGAGGTGTTTAAAAGGTACAAAATTTCAGTTATGTGGGATGAATAAAATCTGATCTAATGTACAGCATAGTGACTGCAATTAATTATATCTGATTGTATACTTTAAATTTGCTAAGAGACCTTAAAAGTTCTCAACACACACAGATGTACAAGGGAACTATGTGAGGTGATTGTTATGTAAATTTGCTTGATTGTGGTAATCACTTCACAATGTATACATATATCAAAACATTATGCTGTTAGGGTAAACATGGACATAAAGACGGCAACATTAGACACTGGAGACTACTAGAGGAGGGAGGGTGGGAAGGGGGTGTAGGCTGAGAAAATACCTATTGGATACTATGCTCGCTATCTGGGTGATGGGATCATTCATACACCAAAACCCAGCCAGATGCATTTTTCCCATGTAATAAACCTGCACATGTACCCTCTGAATCTAAAATAAAAGTTGAAACAAAAATACAAACAAAAACACCATACTGTACGCTGTAAACATACACAATTTTTATTTGTCAAGTATACCTCAATAAATCTGGAAAAAATAGGTACTTGCAAAATAAAACAATAAGAATATTAACACTGATACATACAGTCAAGGCATTGAACATTTCCACCACCACGAGGATTCCTCATGTTGCCCTTTTGTATTTATGCTCACTTTCCTCCTTCGCCATCCCCTTCTTAATCCCTGAAAACTACAAATGTGTTCTATATCGCTATAATTTTGTTATTTTCAGACATTATATATTCTAGATACTAGTCCTTTGTTGTATCCTTGGTTTGGGAATACATTCTCCCACTTTCTGGGTCCTCTTTTCATCCTCTTAGCAGGAATTTTGACAGAGCAAAATTTTTAACTTTAATAAAGTCTAATTTATCATTTTTTTCTTGTATAATATGATAAATTTGTGGAACTCACTTAGCTTTAGGGGGTTTTAAAAAATAGATTATTTGAATATTTTTCTATGTATGTAATAATAGGTATATAATATAATGTACAAATAGGGATATTTTATTTCTTTATTTTTGTCTGTATGCCTTTTACTTTTTTTTCCTGCTTTATTGCTTTGACTATGGACTATGTTGGATACGAATGATGACAGTCGACATTTTTTCCTTGTTCCCACGTTAAGAGGGAAGACATTCAGTCATTCACCTTTAACTATAATATTAACTATAGGTTTTTGTAGATGCTCATTTTCAAGTTGAGGAATTTCTCTCTGTTCTTATTTTTGTGAGTTTTCATCATAAATGTTTGTTGAATTTTTATCAAATGCATTTTCGGTACCAATTTTATATCATCGTGTGAGATTTATTTTTAATGCTGTTAAAATTACTTGATTTTTGAATATTAAACACGCCTGGCCCTCCTGAAAACAAAACACACTTGGTTATAATTTTAAAAAGTACACATAATGTAAACTTTACCACCTGAACCTGTGTGTTTTTTTTTTTTTTTTTTTTTTTTTTTTTTAGAGACGGAGTCTTGCTCTGTCACCCAGGCTGGAGTGCAATGGCGTGATCTCCATTCACTGCAATCTCCGCCTTCCGGGTTCAAGCGATTCTCCTGCCTCAGCCTCCCGAGTAGCTGAGACGACAGGCGAGCACCACTATGCCTGGCTAAGTTTTTGTATTTTTAGTAGTGATGAGATTTCACCATATTGGCCAGGCTGGTCTCAAACTCCTAATCTCGTGATCCATCCACCTTGGCCTTCCGAAGTGCTGGGATTACAGGCGTGAGCCACAGCGCCCGGCCCAACCATGTTTAAGTGTACAATTCAGCTGTGTTAAGCATATTCACATTGTTGTACAACTAATGTCCAGAACATTTTCATCTTGTGAAACTGAAATTCTATACCCATTAAACAAATAATTTCCCAT